CCTCCTCCTTTGCTTTCCTTTTTTTGCACTGGAAATCAAACTCAGAGCCTCGTGCTTGCCAAGCATCCCCAGCCCCTGAAACATAAATGTTTAAACTCAGATTCCTAAAAGCAATTTGAGGCTACTTAGGTACAATTAAAGAAGACCGCATCTTTTTTTTTTTTTATGGAACCGGGGATTGAACTCATGCCCTTGCACTTGCCAGGCAAGTGCTTATTCTACTGAGCCATCTCCCCGGCCCCAGAAGAGCACATCTTACAGGTTGAGTGAATGGGGGAGCCGCATTTCAGAGGGAAGGTGACGTCTGTAACAGAACATAGGCCGAGAGCGTCGCAGCAGCTGAGCGCAGACCACAGCCCTCAGCATCCTGACAGCCGGGGCAGAGGGAGCGGTGACTCGCACTGACCTGAAGACACCGATGAACTGGGACGTCATCAGCTGAGGCCGCAGCTCCTTCACCTCTGCCACGTTCCCCAGCAGCCCCAGCATGTTCCGGTGTAGTTCCTGCTTCTCTGGGAATTCCTGCGCCATGAGACCCAGTGGGGCCGCTCAGTTAGTACCAAGTACTTAGTGCCTGGTGTCATTAACCTGAAAGTGTCACGGGCGTCTGGCCTTTCCCATCACACTCGGGGGAGGCAGCACACAATGCCACACTCTTGGTTTCTGATGGCCCAGGGGAGAGCTGGGCGCACAGGTGAGGGCCAAAAAGGTGGTGACTACAGAGAGAGCTGAGCTCTGGGGCCAGCATAGCTCTGGTGACCAAGGCTCAGAGGACTGGTTTTTGAGAGCGGGAGGACAGGCCTCCAGAAGCCAGACCAGTGGCTGTCACCCCGTGCACTGGGCAGTCAGAGCCTAGCAGGCCACAGGGAGTTTTGTGAGCAGCAAATCGGGGCTGGGAACCCGAGCGGGCCACGGCCTGGCACAGTGTCCCCCTGCGAGGGCCCTACCTTCAGGCAGTCCAGGAAGAGTTTCATGCCGTTGTAGCTGAGGAACATCTCGCAGTTGTCGGGCGTCTCGTCTGTAATGTTCCACAGCGCGCTCCAGGAGAACTCCATGACCTGGTCACACTGCGAGGGACATGGGGCTCAGGGCGCTCCTGGCACCCACAGCACCAGCCTAGGTCCGGCTCTGTCTCAAGCCTGAGCCCACCCGGGAGACCCCACTTACTATCTTGTCCAGCAGCTTCTTCTGAATCAGCTTCAGCATGGTCTGTGGGCAGAGGAGAGAACGTGAGGTGGCCGGGGCTCGAGGACCAATGCATCCCCAGGGGCCCGGCACGTGGCGGGGGCGGCCCACTGCTGGGAGCGCATCCAGGAAGAGTGTGTCTGTATGTCTCTTCGTGAGGTGACTGGAGGATGCACAAGGCAGAGCCTGTAATCGGGGAGCAGGTGGCCTGAGAGCTGGCCCTGGCCCCATACTGAGTCACTGTGACTTTGGCACAGTCTGCTCCTCTGTGGGCTGTTTCCCCAGAGATTATAGCAGAGGTGACAAGGCATATGTTGGTCTTCTCTCTTTTTTTTTTTTGCAGTACTGGGGATTGAACTCAGGGCACTTATTCTACTGCGCTATCTCTCTGACCCCCTTTTTTTGGTGTTTTGACAGGGTCTTTCTGTGTAGCCCAGGCTAGCTTCCAACTCATGGCACTCCTCCTGCCTCAGCCTCCTGAGTGAGTTTTGACATCACAGGTGTGTACCGTCATACCCAGCCTGTCTTACTTCCTTTCACTTCCTTTGTACTTATCTTCCTTTACCTGCTGAGGCCAGGGCAGCGACAAAAGCCAGGCACCCAACTCTGCTAGGGGCTCAGCACCTGTGGCTGGCGTGGGGCAGTGGGGGTGGATCATGGGGACAGCAGGCATGTTCTGGGCAGCTGACTTGCAGCGCTGCTCCCCGCGTGGACCCACAGCCCCAGCCTTCCAGATGCTGGCTTTGTAGCACAGCCCTGCCCTCACGTACCACAACGAAGCCCATCTTGCCCACGGCCTCCTTGTGGTCATTGTCCACCTGGCAGACCAGGGCGTTGCACAGGTGCACAGCGATGCGCTGGATTGACTCATCCTGCCGCGTGGGGTTGAGGATGCTGAGCAGCAGCTCGTTGACGCGGCGGTACTGGAACTCCAGCTCCTCGGGGATGCTGAAGTTGCACAGGGTCAGGCAGCAGTTCCGCTGCACCTGCGGGGCACAGCACAAGCGGACCTGTGCGTCAGCCTGGGGGCCTCCAGAGGCTTGGGGTGCACACAGTGGGGCACTTTGGGGAGGCTTCCTGGGAGGGAAGCTACAGACTTGGTTTTTATATTTTGAAATGTAGAATATTTATAGAGAAGGATACAAAAAGCACAAATGTAACTGCATAAATATATAGTATGTACCCATGAACCACCACATGGGCCAAGAAACGGTTCTGCCAGTACTGGAAGGCCCCGTATATCCCTCCTGATGGTAAGCTCCAGCCTCCTCCTACCCAGGGAACCACTGTTTCAGATTCTTACTTCTCTCTGCTCAATGTGATCACAAGAGCCACTACTGTTTTTTTGTTTTTGTTTTTGTTTTTTTTTTTAATTTTTACTAATTTAGGACAGGGTCTGTAGGGTGCATAGGGTCTCACTATGTAGATCAGACTTGTAGTGATTCTCCTGTTTTCAGCATCCCAAGCGCTGTACCACACCCAGTCTCAGTTGCCATCTCAGCACACCCCAGGGGCAGGGCCAGCAGGGCACCAGAGATCGGACCCCAGCTTTAGCTCACTGAGCTATCTGGCTGGCCCTCCCCAAGAGCCACTACAGTTGCATATGGTTAAAATGCCCTCATTTTTCACAATGAAAGCAGTGCCTGCTTACTTGTCTCCTCCCGATGGGGGCTGGGGGTGTTGTGTGCACCCTTCAGGTCATGGCAGGGGTGCCCAGGGCACAGGTGCGCAGTGGCCCTTCAGGGTCTTCTAGGACCCTTTTCTAGGTTTTACTAGGAAATGCCAGGATGCCTTCCAGAGCGGGTGTGCTGGTTACAGCCTCACCAGCAGTGCTCGGGAGCTCTGGGTGCTCCTTGCCCTCTCCTCCTCTTTACACTCTGGGAAGTTTTTTCCTTTTTATTTTGAGGCAAGCTCTCGCCGTGCTGCCCAGGCTGGCCTCGAGTGCATGGAGATCCTGCTGCCTTAGCCTTCCGAGTGCTGGGGTTACAGGAGTGCCCATCACGCACAGAGGACGTTCTTGCAACTGGACACCCTTCCTCTTTATATTAGCTACTGGAAGATCATTCTCTGTTGCTAACTTCATTCTTTTTTTTTAAATTTATTTATGTGTGTGCGTGTGTGTGTGTGCGTGTGTGTG